AAGATCTCAGCCTTGGGAGCCCTGTGGAGTGCAGCCCCCCTCTGCACACAGGCATCCCCCCAGAGTCAGAATAGCTGCGAGAGCCACTGGCAGCAGCAGCAGCAGCAGCAGCAGCAGTAGCAGCAGTAACAGCAACAACAACAACAACAGCACGTCATCAACAACAACATCAACAGCATCAGCACTGGCAGCAGTAGCAGCGTGATTCCCACATCCACACCTGCTCCTGCAGCACACACCTCCCGAGCCACAGTCCCTAGCTCCCTGCATGCTGAGATTCGGCTGCATCCAGTTGGTTCCCGACTTGGCAGCCTCTCCGCTGGCCGCAGGCACGTGCACACACGCACAGACCCTGGTGGTCTGGAACCCCAGGCGGCCCTGCCTGGGCTACTCCTTGCTTCAGCTCTTGGCAGACAAGGCCATTGGGTGTCTCGATAAGATTGTTGGGGTCCAAACGCCCTCTTTGGAACCCCCTGGGTGCTATGTGGGGGCCTTGCAGGCAACCCCTGCTGTGAACTAGGGCAAGGTCAGGTTCACGGCAGCAGCGGCAGCATTGCTATGGCAACACCATCAGGGCTGCCAGGTCTTCTCTTTCTCCCTGGTCATCACCCGGGAGACTGTCCTTATAGGAAGTCCGTGATAGGATGGCCCTAGCGGGTGCATGCAGGCTGAACGGTCACAGGTGGACTGCGGCGAACTCTGTATTTACTTTCCCAAGGAGCGTCCCGGCGATGCCTCCGGGCTCGGTGAAGCAGGCAGTTTGGGTTTCCAGGCACCAAATGAATAAACCAAGCCAACCAAACACTGCCACTGGTCTGATTCCCACTCACGGCGACCCCAGAGGACAGAGTGGTACTGCCCCCATGGGTTTCCGGGGCTGTACATCTTCATGGGAGCAGAGAGCCTCATCTTTCTCCCTTGGAGAGGCTGGTGGGTTTGAACTGACGACCTTGAAGTTGTGAGCCTGAGTGAGTAATGCATGACGCCAAGCAGAGCTCCTGCGTGTTGCCTAGACCAGGTGTCTATTCCTCAGTAAACGGGCTCTGACCTGCTTTGAATATGTCACTAGCAGCAGGTGCAACGGGCAGGGTACCCCCTGTACGGAGCGAGACTTAGCTTTTGGGAAACTTCATTTCATGGCGCTTGGTGGATAGGGCACGTTTCTTTATGCGTGGAAGGCTTGGGGCACCTCTGCGTGTCAGCACCATCCAGACCCCCCAAGGCGTGCTCAAGCTGTGTGTCGCACGCAGGTTGACCCGCTTGCTTCAGTTCACGTGTCCAGCGTACCCTCCCACACTGCACAGACTGCCCGGTAACCCACCCCACCCACTGCCCATCATGGCCGCCCCACAGGACGGGGCCGGGCTGCAGCGGAAAGCCTCATCTTTCTCCCACGGAGCGGCTGATGGCTTTGAACTGCTGACTGTGAAGTGAGCAGCCCAATGTGTTTCCCACGATGACACTGGGACCCCTGGTTCTGACTCGTAAACCCAGAGCCCCGGCTGTCCATGCCCATGAAGAGCCACCGTCGTGGAGACCCAGGGCAGCTCTACCCTGGCCTGGAGAGTCTCAGTGGGTCGGAATCGACTAGGAGGTTGGGTGTCATATAAATCTCCCATGTGGAATTTGCTCAAAATACAGCGAAAGGAGCTTGCGAACTGGGCTGGGTCTACTAATTTCGGAGGGAAATTCTATGGCTAGCCCATGAGGGGAAGTTCCCAAGTATGGAGACTATGGTTCCAGTTTGCTCCAAACCAAACGCATTTAATGGAAGGCTGCAGGCCACTTCTCTCGGTAATATGCAGGTCTTCCACCCATGGGGGGCTGGAGCTGGGGTGGGGGGCGGTGCTTCTGAAGAGGTCCAATCAAGACAGTGGCTTCTGAGTGACCTGCTGGGTGTGTTCCCTGAGGCAGGGGTCAGCTCAGAGGGGCTGGTGACTGTGGTTTGGGGACTCCGAAGAGGTCACCTTGTCAGGTTTTCTCAGAGGACCCCGATGATCACGGGGGCTTCGTCGGAAGACACTTTCAGCACATGGGAAGCTAGAAGGTCAGGAAAGTCGAGCCAAGGGATTTTTCCCAGCAGGAAAACACACCTGCTCATGAGAAGG